GCTCTGAAGAGGATGCCAGCTTTGAACCATTTGCGCACAACTTACCCATTTTAATTGCACTGACGCACAAGGATAACGTCACCAAGGATAGCTTCTTTTTAAAGGTACAAACAAGAGGAAAATGACAACTGGTAAATGTAATCTCACTCTCAGAGGGCCCTCTCAGAACTGGCCAGCCAGACCAGTCATTTTGGAAATAAAATGTTAGACTTTCATCGGTAATATCTCTAAATCCCATCACTGCAGAACATATCATTTAAGAATAGACTGGTCTGGCTGGATAGTCGGGATTAGAAGTGGAATTCTCTATATATAGTGGGACCGGTCTGGCTGGCCGGTTCTAACAAATGTGTCTGTTCTTCACTGGAGGCAAGGATGGCGCAGAAGTGAACAGAAAGTTCTCGCCTCTCAGTAAAGTGGCCCGGCGTCGAGTCCCGCCGTCACGCTATATACGGGTGGAGTTTGTTAGTTTTCTCTTGCTCTAAAAGGTTTTTTCTCTTGGTACTCCACCTTTTCCGTCTGCCAAAACCATCACTTCACAAATTCCAACTCGATCTGGAACGCGCGAACACCTTCTGACGGGTCAACAGTTTACATTTACATTATAACGGTAACGCGGAGGTCACGGGTTCGAATCCCGTTGAAGCCCTGATTTTTTTCAGGCTTCTTCTTTCCAATTGCTTAAATTGGAAAATTTACTGCGATGATCATTCTTCACTTTCATTTACATTATTCCTGTTCTCGATCTCTCCCGGCTTGCTCCGGGGACGGGAAAAAGTGAGATCCTGGGAACGAGATTCAGGTGCTGTGTAATTACTACGAGAAAAAAGTCTGCTTGCGCAGAATGTTACAGGTCTCAATCACAGGACAATATTTTATTTACAATGTTTTATAAACAAAACTTGTTCCAAGCGGACACTCACTTGCGCCGCATAAAAACAAAACATTCTTTTTTAAGTGAACGAATATGTAGAAAGAAATTTTAAGTCTTACTCTATGAGTTGTGGAAGGAGGGTAGTGCAATTCTGATTCTGATCGTAAGGGCGTTGGTAGTAGTTAATAATGTTTTGTTGTTGCTTAGGCAAGAAACTCAGTACGCTTATAGCCTGCGAGCAAGCTCTCCATTTGGGGGATAAATTGAAAACTAGACGGGCGAGAGGCACGCGAGAGGAGACGCGAAAGCGGGGGATGGGGGTGGGGTGGGGGGGGGTTGCCCTCGCGCGGCTCGCTTCGTTTGCCCAAACAGGAGAGCTTGCTCGCAGGCTAGTACGCTTAGGACTCTACTCCCATTGGCTTCGGGTTCATCTCATGACCCCCCCCCCCCGCCCCCTTCCCCTTCCCCAACAATGTTGTGCCAAAAGACAACCTCCTAGCACCCTTCTGGCTCGAAATTCAACAGGGAAAGGATGTGGGAGTTGCTAGTTTTACTTATGCCACTATACCACGTTAAGTGTCCCAGCACTTTTGACATCTATTTTAGGGAGAGGAGCAACTCTCCGGATTAAGTTGCGTCCTCAAGGTCACCATTGGTTTTTCCTGTACCTTTACTCAAACGACCACATTTGATTTCATTAAATCCTTAGCAAGGTAATTACTTTAATGGAACAGTCTTATTTCCAAGGAGACAACTGACACGTGCTCATAACTGTGTTATACTGTGTTTTCTTTTCAGGAGCTCACTGAGTCAGCTTACGCTCTTTACCGTGAAATGGTTGTAGTTACTCTGGATATCGATGAATTTACGCACTGGGCCAGCAGATTTGTACCCAAGGATTACCACGCTAAACACGCATACGGTAACTATACCTAAAAAACGGCGGACATTTTTCCAACTTAGCTAAGGTTCTTGTATACTGGGTATCCGCTGAGTAAATGTTCAATTATTTGTGTTCTTAAAGAATTCCCCCTTTTTAAGAGACATATCGGTATATCTTCTTTTTCCATTTTACTTTAACTGTTTTACCTTTCCTTTTCATCGACCTGGCCATTGACACTGCCAGTTATTCAATTTTTTTTTTTTGCTAGCGAGATATATATATTTAAAAATCACTCTTCAACTCTCTACAATACCCCCTTAAAAACGTTTTGTTTTGTTAAAAGTCTTTCTTTAAGTAATTTACGGTCGTTTGCTTGTCTTTTAGGGAGACAGGCCGATCAAGTTCCCGTATTATATCACTATCCCCGCCTGTGTATTATCAGGCCTGATGATCATCAACATGCCGCGTTTTACCCTCCTGTCGAGGAACTGCAGGCACTGGGGACTAGAGTCCAGACACGACTCGACCAGATCAACTCCCAGCAGATTATTAAGTTTGCCAAGGATTACATGAAGGATCCTGCGATTGCTGTTGTAAAAACAGAGTATTTCTAAACTTGGGATAAGTACAGATTAGTTCGACTTATATCAAATATGATCCAATATGAAGTTTGTGTCTAGCTAGTAGGTAGCGCGGTAGTGTAAATATGCAGTAATCATTTTAACTGGACCTTAAAATGTTCAGTTCGTAGAAACATGGAAAAAGGATTGTGAACAGAAGTACTCATATCCTGTAAATAACGCATTTTTTCATTACCATTACGTGGCTTTCAATACGCACTAAAAAGAATATCATATCGTGTCCGTTACTCATAAATTTTGGGCGCTTTTCACCGTATGTCCGAAATAGCTAGATCACAAGGCTATAGCTCTCCCAATTTTTTCTGGTAGAAAGATATTTATGAAATAGAAAACCTCTCGAACAGTTTCGCTACAATTATTTATGTCACATTTATTGTCAGTGTAAATGTGCAAATATTATATTTATGCTTATTTAATGTGAAACAGTTCTTAAGGCCAGAGCTCGCTGCATTGTGGTAAATCTTATTGGTAAGCAAGAAACACTGAGAATTTTTATATTTTACAGTTACCGTTCAAACGTACAAAGCTTACTCTTGGAACCCTTTTCTAACAATTGTAAATGGCTAAGTGGAAAGTAACATACCTATTTTTATATTTCCTAAGTGTATTTTTGTAGTACATTTTGAACAAGATTATCCGTGGTCTTTACGTAACTTGCTTTTAGCCTTTGCGTTTTTGATGGGAAACCTGAGCGGGGATTGTGAATAGTTGCCCAACATGTGATAATTTGCTACTTTCCAAGGTGTGAATGCCGCAGGTTGACGAGGCAAGTTTCCCTTTCGTAAACGGTTACTGCCATTTTTGAAGACACATAGTAAAATATTGACCTGTTATTGAGAGTTGTTTCTATTAAAAAGAAAGAATATCGCAACCCAGGATCGAAGCCAGACCTTTCGGCTCTCCCTTACCACCACCCTACTACACCGACCCGCTTAAATTCCGAAAAATTTAATAACATAACCTAGCACACTGGCTTTCTTAACCAATACAACATTAACAGGTAACCTTAGCCCTTTCCTCAATTTTAAACGTAAATCCAACTTGGGCTTCCGGCAACGTCGTTCTATTTAAAACTATATAAGAACGTTTTATTTGCCTTTTTGTAACTTAATTCAGGGAATATATTTCATCTTTCATGGCTAAAAGCGTGGTTACCAATGGTGGCATTGATCGAAAAATGGCAACGACAGTTTACGAAAGGGAAATAGACAGTGACGACGTCAAGTGATTTCCGTCTGGCGACGAAGCAGACCTCCAATCAGCATAGTGGCTCAACCTCGTCCGTTTGGTTTTGCTACTTCGCCATTCATCTCTTGAATGTTTTTGTAATAGTTATAATTATAGACGTAGATTCCACAAAATATACCATCCAGCCACAGTAGCTTTCCACAAAATGGGCCGCACCCGATTTTTGTCCCCAGATGAGTAAAGTTCCCATGCATTGTTTACAACGGACTTGCTGCCAGGTGACAGTCTGTTTATTTTGGTCGGCTTTGTTAAGTCTTGTGCAGCAGACGTTATTTGTTGTGATGTCATTGTTGTTGAGGTGCTTTGAATCCTGTTGGGCGTTGGGCATCCTACAACATCGAGAAGGGTTCAAATTCAGGAGTACATTTCGTAGGGCTTATTGTAAGCAAACATATCATAAGCGTTACTTTATGCAAAGGCATTAAAACAGGGCTGTAAAAACTAGTGTAACGAGGAGAGTTGATTTTTCTCTCGCTTCTGTTTATCTTTTAAGTTACGTAAAACTTAACTTTGACCTTTAGCGTGGTATTGAGTTAGACGTTACTTGCGACGCTAAGATTTATGTCACCGCCCCCAAAACTGTAGATAAGAATGGTTAAATGTATCCTCGAAGCTATACAGTGCTGGTACTAATGTTCAGGTATTGATTGGCTGCCTGTTAGTTCGGAGTAGACAGGTGGTGCAGCGTACGCGCGTTTTGAAAGATGTGGCGCTCATTTTTCTTCAAGCCAAGCTCTTATGTAGTTCGTTGCACAAGCTAACCTTTTTGCTATCTTAGAGGCGTTCAGTGTTTCTGTAATCGATTTGTGGCAATATATAAGCAGGAAATTTTCCCTCCCAGGTAGCACTTTTAAGTCATCAGAAGGCAGAAATGCGCGCTCAGTCTTCACATTGTGTGGTTCTCTCCTAGTAGCGTTTTGGTGACAGTTTGTTGGGGTAGCAGTAGTCTGAGGAAACAGCCGACATTCCGCGACGCCAGCACTGGTTTCCCCGGGAATTGACGTCTGACAAAAACGAGCGCGGAAATTCCATACTGATGACTCGACTCTGCCCTGATTTGGGTAGTGCTTCTGACTGGTCGTGCAGTGTGGGAAATTGTCTTCAACTAATCAGAAGCACTTAATGGAGCTGAGTAATGTCGCGTCATCAGTATGGAATTTCTGCGCTTGTCTCTCAGACGTCATTTCGCGGGGAAACCAGTGTTGGTGTCTAGAAATGTCGGCTGTTTTCTCCGGCGAGGAAAGCAGTATTTTCGGCACAACACCGCTGCTCCACTGCCTATGTTTTTTTTGCCATGTTTCTTAACATTTGTTCAGTTGCAGAAGTTAGGGTAATGCTTAGTTTTTTTATGCAGTCACTCACCTTGGTAATTGTGGCACAAGTATATTTCCACTCTCATGCAGATTTGTCCGGTTGGTGTCCACGCCCTTGGGTTAATGCGAATATAACGAGCATTGATTCGCCAGTCAAACATATTCTTATGGGCCGTAAGGGTATCCACGTTCCCCTGGAGAATCTGTAAAATAGCCATCAAGTTATCTACTACTACAGGGACTGTCATTTATTGGTAGCGGAGCGTCCGCGTGCGCGTAAGGCGCGCATTGGAGCGCCATACCTATTTCAGTGGCAAGTTTTCAGACTGGAGGTTCGGTTCATTTTCCGCACATTCCTGCGGGTTTTACTGTATATATAACACAGCTGAAGATAGGTAAAGTGAATGAATAATGATCAAGTTAAGACTTGTAAATCACAACGAAGTTAAGGTATTTTATTCTGCTTCTAACTCTTGCGGACTGGAAACTTCTGCTTGGTGTTGCGTGCTCATCCGGTTCGATCAACACATGACGTAATACAGAAGACTGAAAAGACACTAAACAATACTCGCACCACAAAACAATACCTAACCAACAATTGATTCAGCAACATTAAGAAACACCCAAACTTCCTCTACTTGTATCGCTTTTGTTCTATTTTTGATACAATGGCCTTTAACTAATCATCTTTTTTGGATAGTAACTCCCACCTTTATTTTGCCGTCAGTTTGATTACAGTAAGTATTCCAATGTAACCCATCCATACTGTAGTTAAGAGTATATTCTGTTACCCAGGTCCCCATCACAGATCCTTGAGTGGCGACTCCAGAGATGTTTCGCGACGCTGGAAGGTCAACCTGAGACAGAAATGATACTTTTCTCATCTAACGTTTTTCTTATATCTTCCCCGGAGTTATGTGACAATCGCAGTAAGGCGTTTCAAGTGTAAGGTCCACTTACAGCAGGCCCAGAATTAAGAACGTACCGGTATTAAGCGATTCAGGAGACATGACGCCTTGTCAAGACAATTGTAGTTAAAGTAGCTGCAAGATAAGGTTTAATGGTGGTCCATACCTGGCCCGAGTGGTCTGTATAAAATTACCCACCCAAGGCTGCACCTCGTTTCATTGTGTGGTACAAGAGGTCTATACCTGTATGTATTGTGAGGTATCTTGGGTTGCCGCACACCAGCTGCCTAATAACACAGTACCATTGACATGTTGAATCTCATTATTAAGTCGACCTCGTGATGGGTGATGACCGCTGGCAAAAGAGGACGCAGTCACTTGTCTATCAGTTATCTGTCTGTTCTCCATTCCCGCCTCTGTGCTACAGTCTTCAAAGCGGCCATCTGTAAGGTGTCGAGCAGAAAATATTACAACTTTAGGACTTAAATAACCTAAGGTAAAAATGTCTTTCATGGTTGCATTGTGATAAACACGTAAGTCTCAGTACATTAATATGCGCTCATTCAGGAAACTTCAGGGACGGGTTTTACGCATGTGTGTGAAACTTGGCTGAAATAAATCAACCTCTAACCCTCTTACCCCTAACAGAAACCGAAATGAAAATTCACCAAAAACTCTAAGTTTTTTTCTCTAAACCCAAAATAAATAAATAGTACAACGCAAAAGTTCTACTTAAGAGGGTTGATATGAATGGTAACAAATCACCATTGTATTTCGTCCAAATATTTAGAAGTGTGATGGACGAATTGGAACGAATCATCTCATCATGGCTGATTAGTCTAGGCGTTATCCTGGCTAATATTTCTCAGACCTTTTGATTGTGTTGCTATCAAATGAGGCAGCGGAAAAGGCCAGTCTGGCGGTGACAGCCTACGTTGCCCTTTCAACTCACTGAAAAGTATCCGCTGGCTGCCTAATAGAAAGTTTTTTAAGATGATGACCTTGCTATGCTTTTTCTAACGTGCTTAATATTAGCTACGATTGTTCAATACCTTTGTCTGTATCGCAACCATAGATTTCTACTCTCATGCAGACCATGCCGTACATATTCCACTGAAGTGCTTTTATTCTTATTTCTCGAGCTATAATGGCCTCGTCCAGTTTATTGCTTACAACTGTGTCACCATCGGTGTTACCCTTCAAAACCTAAGTAAACAAAAAAAAACTCTTTATTACGTACATGGGAGGAATAATAGGATTTTTTTTAAAGGATACTTTTTAGAAATCTCTTCTTTAATTAATATTCTCTATTTAAAGTAATTTATTATCTAAGTAAGTAAATAAGTGAGGTGGTCAGTCAGTCAGTCAGTAAGGTAAATGCTAACAATAATGAAGTAAATAGCTATAGTGTTGTCTCAGAGAAAACATCTCCTTTGAGAGTAGGTTTTTAATTGCTGGCAAGCCTTATTTATGCAAGCCAGCACACATTTTCCTCTACTATAGTGGGAAAAAGTCGCCAAAATTTGTCGGATTTAAGATCAGAAGCATGCCCAGTCGATTGGTTTTCTTATTATTGGTTTTGTTAGAGCATTTTGGGGATGATTCTCGAGGAGGACTAGAAATTCAGCCTGATATGTGTTTGGCTGCTCTATTTGCCGATTCGCGAATAAATGAAGGTGCGATGATTATATCGATCAAATCCTCCTTCATGGAGTTTTTTCTATTCTGCTGTGGGTTCACCCTAGCTTGTTGGTCTAGGGAGAAAAGAGAGGAAAGATGCGAAGCAAACCAGCTTTTCGGTACCAAATGAAATTAATCAAAGTATTTTTCGCCAGTTGAGGCATTAAATTTAAACGTTGTGGCAAAAATCTCTGCCTACTAAGGTAAATAATGTTATTAGCTGATAATTTGACCTTGAGTCACATCTGTCCGTTGAGGCGAAAGAAAAGCTTGGAACCATATGGATGCAAAATGTGTTTCGCTCTTTGAAGATAACCCCTGGTTTATCATTCAACTGCAAAATTATTTGTCAATGATTGTCACGTTGGCAAGCACCTGCTACGCAGGCTACCGTCGGGTCCAACTTTGTTTTAAAGTCAAAAGAAAACTTCTCGAGCACCACATTATACCCGATAATAACCATGCGTCGATATCTTCGCACCTCCATTCAGAAATCGGCAAAAATTGTCGACATAGTCGAGCAGCCAATCACATAAGAATATCTAGTCTTCCTCGATATTCATCACTTATAACCATTCGTAACCTCGATGAAATTATTTCCGTAGCCAAATAAAGAAAACTAAAAAATATAAACAAGCAATGACTAAAAATCCAGACCTGGCTTGCTCGTTTATCATCTGCTTGCACAATGGAAATTTACTTGAAGTTATTTCCCCTTTTATACATCACAAATACACGGAAATAACATATTTTTCTTTAAAGGCTTACCCGCCCTAATTCCAGGGGTCATTTTCATTTTCTTCACTTAGTTTATTTTCAAACATGTTCAAACTGTATCTTTCCGTATTCGTATTCGTCTTCCAGCTCTGACACCGAAAATGGGAAAGGAAGAGTTATTGGACTAAAAGTTGTTAATCATCACTTTCAGCCTTTGATGATTCGAAAATCACAGAGAGATTGTAAATTTACATTAATTATTAAGACGATAGGGTCTAGAACCTTTTATGATTTTTCTCTTTCTCTTTTCGATTTTTGGTGGCTTTGGTGCTGAAACTATGAACTTCCGCAGAACTTCTGGTAAACAAGGGTAACCTGGAAGTGTCCTTAGTTAACCTCACTTGTTACGATTACCAATTTTTACATCAGACGGTACACTGTGAGCTGCTAACAAAGCTGTTTCCTGACGGTAAAAACACACTCAACCAAATGCGTGACAAATACAAGCATCTCGAGGAAAATGAATCGGGCCTAAATTTAACCGATTTAGTCTTACTTTCAACTCATAACTTGTAAATGTATTTAAGGGTATAGTATTTACCTCATCTTTGGCAAACGATTGATATGTTTTCCAGTTGATTCCATCACAGCTGTAGTTTAAAGAGTACCTTTCTACCCAGTTACCCTGTGGGTTATTTAATCCCTGAGTAGCTACCGCCGTGATAACTTTCTGTTTTCCAAGATCAATCTGTAAATATGGATCATCATCTTCTTCCATAGCACACCAGCCACCTAGGGTACTCTCATGTAATCGCCTTAAAAACAAAAATTAAACCCTTTAGAACGAACAAACTCCGTTTATCAACCGCTACCCAACTGTGATGGTTCCACACTGATAACCCAAGCTTCAGCACAGGTAACCCAGACTTCTTTAGTGTGGCTACTAAGAGTTTTACTGTGAAAACAACCAGGATTAACCACAGGTTCCTCTGTGGTTAAAATTTTGCCGGTAAAACGTCCTACGTTTAATTTTTTGCCATTGTTTGTAGTTCTCTTCTTATTGTACTATTGGACGATTAATTGACGACCACGAAATGCTGGTACACATTTCCTTTTTGCTGGAAAAAAAGTTTTTTCTATCTATTTTTTGTGTGTTTTTGCTGTTTGCTTAGGAGGAACTGAAAGAAAAATCTGAGACAAGTTTTGTTTAATTGTCATGATGACTTCCAAAAAAATAATTCGTACCAGCTTGATAAAATGAGCTTCAAATCTTAACTTGACAGTGGCATTTTTTTAGAATTTCCTCCCCCTTCCATCCCCCGCCCCCAAGCAAATCACTCCCTACACTCCCTAAACTTTGCAATCAGTCAGCGACCATGTTTTGCTGTGACTCTAATGACCTACATGTTATAACCCTTGTACTGTTTTTGGCTCTAATTGGCTGGGCAGATGTTAGCATATTATCCTGTGCTCATGCAGATTTCAGATTATACGGAAGAATATTTGGTTTGACGGAATAGATTTCGAAATATCCTATATAGTAGAACTGATAACGTTGCTTGTGTTCAACTGAATGTTATTTAATACATTTTTCCGTCGCTATAAACGTTTGGGTTTGTATATCGCAGCGTTGTTTTGAATCTTTCAATAAAAGCGTTCATGCAGGAGGTAATTTCTTTAGGTGGCTAACTAATGATGAACAGATCGTTGAAAGGTCTAAATCTGAACAAACAAAAGCGTTATAACATCTGCGAACTGTTCAGGGGTGTCTTAAGATACGTTCACACTGCAACCAAACGAATTATAGACCGGCTAAAATATTTAACCGGTCACTTCGTTCTCTCGGGACCGTTCAATACTTTCTCCCTGTTCACAGGAAACTTTGATCAACGGCTAGGCGTCTAAATTTTCGTACGGTTAGTGTTAAAAGTTCCGTGTGAGCGGCGCATCTAAACGCACGAATTTTCAACCGGTCTAAAAATTCGTCCGTTGCCGTGTGAACTGACGTTTACATAGCCTCACATGTTGTTCCATAGTCTCCCTGCAGAAGGTTGAGTCCACATCGAGTACGAAGAGGATGCAGTGATCTGAGGGTCCCGGATGCCACCTGAGATCATTCCCAAGCCAATATTGCAGTCTAGAAAGAGAGCAAATGACAAACAGTATTGTATTCTGTTCAATGAAGATGGAAAAAGATTGACTTATGACTGAGTAGCCGATATTTGCTTCTGTTCACAAATTCAGTTAGATTTGTTAAACAAATAACTAGATTTTGATAAGACACAATTATTACTTCTAGGCAGCCAACCTCCAGAAAACCTACGTGGACACAAACTAGATAGGGTGTGTTTTTTCTTTCTGCTTAAATAATATTGTACCCAAAGAACAAGAAAATATGGAAGCCAGAAAAGCTATTCACTGCATAGAAAAATATAATCAAGATTTCAATAGACTTCATCACCCAGGAAACTATTGTTCTTGGTAATGCAGAAACAGCATTCATGTAGGGCTGAACATTTTAAAGATGGTATCCTTTAATAGAAGTACCACTTGTAGAATTCTTTTCCCCTGTCTTTGAAAGCTAAATTTAATTATCCCAATGATATTCCAGGAACAAAAGCTACAAAATCATGAGCAGTTCTGGTAGTTGTTGTCTAATGCCGCCATATTGAAAATAGTTATTAACATGAACAACTTTAAAATGCACTTTAAAATTGAGACGTTAACGCAGAACTTTTTAAGCCATGGAATGGAAACTGTAGCTCTAGCCTTTGGGTCAGTGGCAGATAAAAAAAATAATGGCACACTCCCTTGAAACAAATGTACCATTTCTCATTGCAGACTGTGAAGCCACTGGAACTTCGGTGGAGAACATGCATGTAAATGATGTTATTTTGGGTGGATTCATTAACGCGTATAGCTGTCGCATTGGCCTGCTGGAATTTTTTATTGTTTTTAAGACTAAAAACAATAAAAAATTCCCGGGGCAAATGTGACAGCTATACGCGTATGTTGCAAATTAATCCATCTTTTATTTGCTTTTATTTTCATTTCAAAGGTTTATCCAATGGACATGTAACAAACTAACACTTTATTCTCTCAGACTAACGAACAATGAAGAAGGATTCACTTCTTGCATATCAAAAGGTGGATTCACCTTATAAAGACATTAAAAACCACTACGCATACCAAACCTAAACATGACTGCGGTGCTCAGTAAGAATATTACTGGTTTGCAAATACCAGAATTACCTTTTAAACGCAAACAAAAAGAGAAATGAAATGAAATGAAAATAAGCAAATAGATGTCATGTAAAGAAAAAAGAAACATTAAAACTGCCTGTAATCAAAACTAAGTATTACTGAAACTGAGTTCTGATGTCACAAAAAAAGAAGAATTGAACAAAAAGGAAAGCCTGTTGTAAAGTTGCGTGGGGATCGTCCAAGTCAACGAGAATTATAGCCCCCAAACGTTTTTTTAATTTTAAGATGAAATAGATTACATGAGAGATTTAATCCATGATTTCTTTATTCTGGCCGAATAAAGAAACGCTGTAGTTTGTTTTTCCTTCGGTCAAATTGTTTTTGATAAGACCTAGAGATGAATCCATTGAAGAAGTTGTTGAACCATCCACCTAGCCATCATGCCTGGCGCGGTCAGCCCTTCCTATCTCCTCTCGGCTCTTCTTTGATGTTTAGAGGTCAACCGATGACAGTAATTAATAATCATTAATTTTTCGTTTGACAGCAAGCCTCGAGTTGGTTTCCGGTTGTGCTTTTACCGTCTAAAGCTGAGCCAGAAATTGTCCAAATTTACAGATCATTAATCTTTTGGGAATTTCAAGTTAACAGCCGCCCTTAAGTTCCTCGCTTATCACCTAAACTCAGAACACGCTATTAAACTTGATGAAATGTCCTCTTTTTGCACGAAACATAAATTTTAATCATGAAAAGAGTCATGGATCAGAATATAACAATCCACTTTTTTTTCACCGGTGTATGGCATAATCATTATGATGCCCCAGTTCTCTTTCGAGCGTCAACCAAAAAGCCGTTCTGGGATCCGTCGAATAAGGAAAGATTTTTTTCATATTGACAGTAATCGCAATAAAACAGCGTAGTGTTCAGCTATGACTGGTATCAATCCAAATCGTCCCAAGAAATTGTAAACTGAAACTCATTGCAGCAGTAAAGAAATAACGATTTGGGAAAATTTTCCTAGTACTTTGGGGTTGACAAGTAGATTGACTTCAGAGCTGCTCTAACAAGGTGACTAATCGGAACCTAATCCTTATGATTGTTAGCAAAGGAAGAGCGCTTTCACGCAGAAACCTTTGATAGCAAATCAGAAAAAAAAACTTTCTGTAACCATATTAATGGCATAGTCGACGTGTTGTTAGTTTTAAGCCTCTGACTATCGCTTATGCTGAAAACAATCTCGGTTATTCAAACGTGATAAGCCGACCGGGTTATAACTTCGCCATCGCTGACTTGAGCCAGGGAGCCATGACACTTGATTGCAGTAGATTGGTCAGTTCCTAAGAATGAGTAAGTCCTCTCGCGGACAGTGGCTGTTTTGCCGTTAAAAACAACGAGAATTGGCAGTTAGTACGAATTTGATTCAAAACCTTCCGCAAGCAAATTTAGTTTATCGTCTTTAGTATTTACTTTATCAAACGATGGGGAAACGCTTCCTGCATTAAATAATTTACGAGTGATACTATTAAAAGATTACTGCCATTTGCTAAGCCGTTTTGGATAATCAGTGGATTCGTATAAAGAGATCAATTAGTTTTGACTCCTACATACTCAAGCAGTCCATTCTTTTTAGACTAAATTATATTTATAATGATAAATCACAATAGCCAACTGCCATGACCAGTATTGAGGTATTTGTGGTAGCAAGTACCTTTCCATTCTAACACTGAGAGACGAGATTCGTCGATATTTGAGCTCAGTTCAGTTCATATAACAGTTTTTTCTGTGCTAATGGCGATGATTGAATTCCCTTCCTCTATAGAACAGTCTTGATCAATAAAAAGATAGTTATAGCCTAGTTGTTGCTCAATCATATTTGACTCCCCAGTAAGCAGGGCTGAGTAAGTAGCTAATTCTAATAAGAGCTACCTACCTGAATAGCTGTTCTTTATGGCGCAAAAGAAAATAAGGATTATATCACCAACTATGACCCAATTCATTCTTGTATCGTTATAGTAGCTCTAGCACGATACAGTTTGTCGAATTAATTGAAGGCAAAGCGGGTTCAAGCGTAGTCTGCTTACTGTTTTCATATCTCGGTGTAAGGTTAGCCGTCTCGAGGCGGAAAAATAACGCGACAATTAATCTTCGTCAATAACCTTTCTGTCACAGCTTGGTATGCAAAAAAGCGGGTTTAATTACCTATTCTTTTGCTTAAAAAAAGAGAGCAAAAAAATTTCAAATTGCACCCTTATCTTGACTGCTCGAAACACAACTATAGACACTGAATATTTGGACACTTAACAAAATCAAAGATAAACATAAAAACTGAATTAAATTTGAAGTTATTGAGAGGATAAATCTGCCTGGTCGTTCAATTAAATGGCATTTATTAAGGAGTGACGGACAGAAAATAGATCGGAAATCTGTGCTAACTATTTGGTATTCAAGTGCCTTCCGACGTATTCGCACCAGTAAGAGCCTGAGGCTTTTGCACGGAAAAAAATTTCCTGCTTAAAAAGTAGGTGTATAATCCCGTAGCCCTAAAATCAAACTGAGTGGACATCATTAGCTATAGTAACCGCTGAAGCGGCAAATTTAAACCTACGAGAGCTTTGAATAAACTCCAAATAAGAGGAGAAAGGCCTTATTTGGACCACCAGCGCTGACAATAACTCAATCGCGCGTTTTCGTTGGCTCTAAAATGACAAATCTGCGCATGGAATATATATTGAAAATAAATGTTGTACCATAAAGAGATGGCATTTCCCTTAGCAGGTTGAATTATAAGAAAAGAAACAAACTGATCATTACGGGACAAAAAGAAAAGAAGATTGAAATGCACTGACAAATATCGATCTTATCAAATATATCGTCGTATTTAACCACCAGTGTGTTGTAAGAGGAAACAAAGCATGGGTTGCTAACAACAAATGAAGTTCTTAAGAGCGCTTTCTGCCTGTCACCTCACTTTTCCTTTTTTTTTAACTTTGGCTCCGCACTCTTGTTTCTCCCCACATACTGAACGCCTCCGTCAGTCACTTATAAGAGCTGAGCTGACTGGAAATGCGGCTTTGCCAGATCGTTTTAAAAGATCGAGACCTCAAGATAAGATGACGGCGGCGGCAACGGGAACGGCAAAAAAAGCAATAGGTTTAATACGCAAAACAATAACTGCACGTGCAGCACACTTTTTTTGTACATTTCTTTACCGTCACTGCACGACTACTACGTGAAAAAGCCCAATTTCACGTTTTATGGAGGAAGTAAACAAGCCAGGACAAAATTTTCCCTCTTTTCTGAACTTGGATACTGCAATTGACAAAGCAAGCCAGTTGTAATAAACGTGATGAAGATTGAGAGAACGCGAGTTCACTTTTTAAGTGAGCGACGTTTTCGCTGTCGTCGCCTAAGGTCCCCAATAACCAAGCGTGCCAATCCTACCGCAACGTAAACGCAGGCCAATGTCATGTGACCCGGCCTCGTGTGTCATGAATGAATGCGACCTTTCCTAAATAACGTACATGGGCAACAGACGGAAGGTGAAACTTGGGCGCTTACGTTATTTCGTGTTTTTGTTCATCATTTGAAAGATTTTTCGACCACTCATTTTTTCGACTTCTTTCGAATTTTATCCATAAAATGTCTGCAAAAGTACCAATATATTGAGCTTGCGGCCACCAAAGAAATGACATTAGTTTGCATACAATAATTAAACACGGATATGGATATAGTGTGCCTCGGATTACCAGGGCGCGCAGCGATGTCAGAACGCCACATGAACTTGATTAAAGGGAACCTCCACTCTTACTACAGAATAAGTTTAAATCGAATAAAATTATGTTGATAAACAAATTTGTTCGAAATTTGTCCTTAAAAAAAGTGTTTATATCAGGAAAAGTGACTTTTAAAATCGCTTATTTTCACTTTCAAATTTCGCGGGCGCCGCCATCTT